ATGGGACTCTGAGGCTGAGGTGTGTGTGTGTGTGTGTGCGTTGTGGATGGTGAGACCCACCTCGTCCATTCTGCTGCTCCGCCGCCGGTGGGACACGGAGTGGATCTGCCACGGCACCGGCTGGTTCACCATGTAGGGCAGCGGCTCAGGCTTCCGACCTAAACGCACACTTATCTGGGAGAGAGACATATCAAAAGTGTGCATGTTGTGTGTGTTGTGTGTGTGTGTATGTGTGTGTGTGCCATAGGTCATTTTATCATCTTTGAATTCTTCTTTGAATCTTTGAATCTTTGAACTTTGACGTTAGTACAACAATGTAATGCTGAGTGTTTGATGTAATGTAAAAATGAGTGTTTACTGTTAACATTTGTGTAACATTGAATGCCATATCAGTGAACAACAATTCTACTCAAAACTGTACTAAATTGAATGGTCAGTGTGATATGCCCTATGACAAACTGTTGAATTCATACACAAACACGACATCTATTGTGAATACTCGTCATTGTTAATAATCAAAAGTAGTTTGAGTTGCAGAAAGTTATATGCAAACATTTGTATATATTTACATTTTCTTCGACAACCACTCGTCCACTACCACGACTCCACAACATGTGTTTCATCATAATATCATACATCAGCTTCATCTTACCGAATCAACGGCTCGGACCATCATGTACATAGCGGTTAGCATGGTGACCAACATCTTGTCAACTGCTCGGTCGCGTTCTTAATAGTCCTTTATGTTCTCCTGTATGTGACCTCGAAAGGTAGAAAACCGCCGGCACCGGAATACTGCTTGGGTATGGACCGGTTTGCCTAAGGACAACGGCAAGAGGGGCCAACACACAGTCACTCAGTTTGACACTTGTTTCACACACACACACACACACACACACACGCGTGCAGTCTCCTGCTCTTTGGCATGAGGTGGTAAGACTGCTAATGAGCTTTGCAGTACAGAAATAGAGAAGCAGTAATCTTTTCCTCTGCTCAAAAGCACTTATCCTGCAGGTGTGCTTCCACCTCCCTAGAACTTGAAGCCAGACAGTATTATGTGTTTCTATTGTTTGCTACAAGTCAGGATGGTCCATATGGATAACTTAGAAATAATTAATAATCTTGTCTTTTAATAAAGAAAAGAAACGGTTTCCTTGAATTCATGTGTGTTGTATTCTGATTTATGCCTATGTAAGCTTTATCCGCTGGCCACTTCGTTTTTCTCAAAAGGTATTGGACCACACCTGGCTTGAACCATCATTTAACTTTACCCTATTTAAAGGTGCCGTGTGTAGGATTTAGTGGCATCTAGCGGTGAGGGGTCATCTCTAGAGCTGCTCCGTTCTGGGCTACTGTAGAAACATGGCGGTGCAACATGGCAGCCTCCGTGGAAGAGGACTCGCTCCCTATGTAGATATAAAGGGCTCATTCTTAGGTAACAAAAACACAACGATTCGCATTTTCATGGGATTATAGACTAATTAAAACATACAAATATATATATTATATTCCCTTTCCACTAAATTCTACACACTGCACCTTTAACTCACTGAATGATATAAGTAAAAAAAGGATGCAAGCTGTAAGCTGGTAGGATAATAGGGTTAGTGTTAGTAATAGCAACCCAGTCGCCAAAAGCATATGTTGACAGTGTACATTTTCGTGGACACTGGATTACATCGCATTTCAACGTAAAATAGCGTGTTGTACCTACAGTATCTGCGTGTGGTGCTGTGGAGGCGCCTGAAGAAAGCACAACCAACAAGGACATTTCCTGGTTATTAGTTATTCTCTCTCTCAATCCTCTTCCGGGTCACGTGGCCCATGAGGCTTCAAGAGGTCCCGCCACCTGGCTCGGTCAGCCGCCACCTTTGGAGTTTCATTCAGGGAGAAGCCTCGTCTCTTTACTTCCTTCTCCACGGTCCGTCTCCAAGTTTATTTTGGTCTTCCTCTAGATCTTTTCCCCTGGGGTGTCCATCGTAAGGCTACTCTGGTTAGATTGTCTGGTGGCATCCGGCAGATGTGACCCAACCACTGTTGGGTCACTACTGTCATGAGGCCTGTTTTCTGCTGCAGGTTTTTGTTTGAGATGGTGTTTGGCCAGAAGATTCTTAAGATCCGTCGTAGACATTTATTTTGAAAGACGTTCAGTCTGTGTTTGATGTAAGTTGTTTCCTTCCAGCATTCAGCTCCGTATAGGAGCACACTAAGTACATTACTTTTGTAAATGTTGATCTTTGTTCTGGTGTGTATACTGGTGCTTCTCCTGGTCTGAGCATTGCGAAGGCTTGGTTTGCTTTGCCAATTCTAATGTCCACTTCCTTCGTGCAGTCTCCGTCGACAGCAACATTACTGCCCAGATAAGTAAATGCTTTGACTTCTTCAAGTGGTTTTTCATTTATTGTGATTGGATTGTTATTTGTGGTGTTTTTCCGTATCACTTTGGTCTTTCCTTCGTTTATCTTGAGGCCAATGGTGTTGGATGTCCTGTTGAGCTTTTCTGATTTCTCTTGAGCATCAGCGTGCCTGCTTGAGAGAAGACCAAGGTCATCTGCATAATCAAGATCTTCTAAGACTGTGTTCATTGTCCACTGTATACCTCTTCTTTTGTCTTGAGTGACATTTTTCATTACCCAGTCTATTGCCAGGGAAAAGAGAAGTGGGGATAGTATGCATCCTTGTTTGACCCCGGTCTTTACTTTGAAAGGGTCTGTCAGCGTTTTATTATGTATAACTTTGCAGTCGATATCTTCGTACAGGGATTTGATGATGTTGACAATTTTTGTGGGAATGCCATAATGTCTGAGGATTTTCCAAAGTGAGTCACGGTGCAAGCTGTCGAAGGCTTTTTCAAAGTCGACGAAGACAACATAAAGAGAACTGTTCCATTCCTGTGTTTGTTCTAGTATCTGTCGTAACACAAATATGTGGTCGGTGCATGAGTGTCCTTTCCTAAAGCCAGCTTGTTCAGTTCTTAGTATGGCATCCACGGCTGCTGAAATGCGACTGAGGATAATTCTGCTGAACACCTTACATGTAATTGATAACAGGGTAATGCCCCTCCAGTTGTTACAGTTTTGCAGGTTCCCTTTTTGGGGGATTTTAACAATTAGACCAATTTTCCATTCGTCAGGTATGGCTTCTTTGTTCCAAATTTCTTGGAAGATGTCTCTGAGAATTGTGGGTGTTACTTGGTTTCTGCTTTAAGCATTTCTGGGCATATACTCCTGTATTAACCCGACCACGGCTCTAATGGACGATGTGGGCATCCGGGTTAGGGTTAGGGTTAGGGTTTTGCCCGTTTTTCAAGAGAGAAAGTATAACCTGAACATATTTTGTTCATATTATAGGGAGATTGATGTTGTAAAAATATAAATATAGGCTACATTTATAAGTGTTTTTTTAGACGTGTTTCCAGCTGCTTTGTTTGTCCAAAAGAACGGGTGTGTTCAATGACGGATTGAGAAACATTTTAAAATCTTTTTTTTTTTTAAACAAGCCTATTATGTATGCTGTCGTATCACATCAGTAAGAAAATGTTTACAACATGAATTGTTTGGAGTTCACATTGTGGGACATACATTGTGGTGTGGGACAATAATAGTTGTTGTTGTTGTTTTTTTAGCAAACTTTATTGTCAACAATATTATGACATTACAACATAAACAATAGTACAGTAAGGACAGTACTTCCGGCTGATAGGTCCTCCGTTATCCAATGGGACAGGTGGTCACGGCGTCTTTCAGCCGTAGCCCCTAGCAACATGACATCATTGAAACATGGTGCAGGAATGAGTCATAAAACCCGGAAATCGGTTAGCATGTTGGCACTTCCGGTTCCCTCGTCTCGAAGTCAATGGGTTTTTTGAATGGGTTTTTGGTTCGATGCCTGAAATAAAGTCTGTAGTTAACACCAGCTTAAGAGATTGCCACGTTTTGGTCTACGACATAAAATACATCAGTAAATACCCCACTTGTGATTTTTGAAGCTTTTACGTGTCTTAAAAAAACGTAGAAGTAGGCCTAATTGGCCTACTTGGGCCTGTTGCCAGCATGATTCTCTCCTATACGTGATTTCTCTTTCCCTCACAGCCCCTCTGAGCCACCCCAAAGGTCTGATCCCCCCCAGTCTCTGCTGTCAAACTTGTGTGTCCTTGATATTTGATCACATTGTCTTAAGAAGGTGGTGGTACAGTGAGTTGAATTGTGTGAATTGAAAAGTGTAACTCCCGGTGGCATGATGGAAAGAGCTGAGGTCTACTGCTCTGACTGACCTGGTATTGTATCCTGGTAGTTGGACTCTCCCCATTCCCCAGGGGTAGAGGGGTGTATAAGAAGGGCTCTTGGGGATGCCGGTGATTTACAGAGGGTTGTTGATGTAGTATGACACTCCTGACATACCACAACGGTCAGGGACACAGGTGTCCCAGTTAGGCAGAGGTCTCCAACAACAGTTAAAGTAACAGTTGTGTGAGTAGGTGTCCCCAACTGCTGTACAGCAGTTGGGGACACCTACTCACACTTTAACTGTCAGGAGTGTCATACTACATCTCCAACAACCCTGTCAATCACTGGCATCCCCAAGAGCCCTTCTTAGATCCCCCTCTACCCCTGAGCCCAGGGAATGGGGAGAGAGCCCAACTACCAGGTCAGTAGACCACAGCTCTTTCCATCATGCCCTTGTATTTGACATCACAATACACAAGAGGAAACCTCATAGATGTTCCTTGCTGGGAGTCAAACCCTGGACTACAGATCTGATAACCTGCAGCACTCTGCATTGCGCCACCTGGACAGCGACAATGATGTACTAGGAAGTCACACTTGTATTTGACATCACAATACACAAGAGGAAAGCTCATAGATGTCCCTTGCTGGGAGTCGAACCTTGGACTACAGATCTGATAACCTGCAGCACGCCACCTGGACACTGACTACGACGTACTAGGAAGTCGCACTTGTATTTGACATCACAATACAAAAGAGGAAACCACATATAGATGTCCCTTGCAGGGACTCGAACCCTGGTCTTCAGATCTGATAACCTGAAGGACTCTGCATTGCGCCACCTGGACGCCCACTGCAATGTACTAGGATGTCACACTTGTATTTGACATTACAATTCATGTAGAAATAAGATGCCACCACAGCACAGTCCCTCACTGGGACTTGAACCCGAGTCTCCTGTGCAGATCACACGCATACCTTTCCCCTGCGCCACAATGTCGCACTTGTATTTGACATTACAATTCAGGTGACCTAGAAATAATCACTGGCGTCCCCAAGAGCCCTCTTCTTATATCTCGTTGTCCCAGCCAGTGGCGGTTTGGGGGGGCTTCAACCTCCCCAAATTCAACCTCAGCCCCCCCAAAGGAAGAGGACATTTTTACCTTTCCAACAATACCAATATTATTTTTTTCGTCCATTAGAGCCGTGGTCGGGTTAATACAGGAGTAATAACTAACCAATAGGACGGATGCCCTCATCGTCCATTAGAGCCGTGGTCGGGTTAATACAGGAGTGAATGGGCTGCTGGAGCACCCACTCTGAACGTCAAATATCGCCGGAGACGGCATCACATTGTAGTGAATTGAACCCCCTCTCCGTCAGTGACTGACACTAAATTGCCCTTACCGACAGTCGCTATTTGACATTCTGGGAGTGAAACTGTGTTGTTCTGACTGAGTTTTCATAAAGATTATACAATACATATTATTACACCCCAACTGTTTCTGTGGTGGGTTTTGAAAGTACCCAAGAAAACCGCGACCCGCGTCTTTGAGGTTTACACCCGTGACTCCGTTTTCAAAACAGCCCAATTTGGCGAGAAAACCATGAGGCTGGCAACCCTGCATCACCGTCACCTTAATTCTAATTAATGTATTTTATAACCAGCAATTTATGTATTTTATAACCAGGAAATGCCCTTGTTGGTCGTGCTTTAGGTACAACACGCTATTTTACATGGAAATGCGATGTAATCCAGTGTTCACGAAAATGTACACTGTCAACATATGCTTTTGGCGACTGGGTTGGTAATAGGGTTAGGGTTCGGTTTTCGTTTTAGGGTTAGGTTTTATGGTTTAATTTTAGGTTTGGCTTTAGGGTTAGGGTTTCCTATTAGGGTTTGGTTTTAGGGTTAGGTTTTAGGTTTAGGTTATTATCAGGATTAGTAATAGGATCTGGGTTAGTAATAGGGTCAGTGTCAGTATTGAATTGGTAGGCCTAACACACAACTGACCATTTCAGTTGCATGTTGCAGTGATCAGATAGACACGGTCTATCTGATTGAACTCTGTGAACCCAGGCACCACTGTCTACTATTGCGCGTCATTGTCTTCGACTTCACCTCTGACAAATGACATTTTTGTGGACACATTCCTCTTGGAGCTGTGCTGTCTGGCACCAGCTGCACTGGACATTTTTGCATATGACACTGATCTTAGTTTTGCGTCATGCACTGATGATACTAACCCTTTGTCGTGCATGGCGAAATATTTTGTGTCTGTGTGGTGGGCGGGACACATGGCATTCGGTATGTGAGGGATGAGATTTGCAAGTTGCTTATCACACCAGAAGATAGGTATAAGAGCAGAGACATGCAGAGAAATAGAGAGAGAGACTGGAAAATGGGTTGAAATGTCAAGGCTTTCAAGATTCCCTTCAGACTTTGTGTGAGGAGCAATAGGTAAGAAACATTAATGAGTACCAGGAAAAATGTAATTGGTCATATATATATATATATATATATATATATATATATATATATATATATATATATTAATTAATGTCCATGAGGAAAATGTCCCAGAAATGTACAATGCAGGTAAGAGTCCAGTTGTTTTAAAATTGTGTGTCTGGGGATAATGCTTTAGATAAGATGATTCAAATGTATTCCAAATTTAGAGTACTAAACTGTAGTTTTACAAGAAAAGGAAAACAAGACAATGTGAATTTATGACACTGCATACAATTTCTTCAGTTCTGATTGTAGGCTACTTACATTGGGACAGTGACATTACACCACAGTTAAAAGAATACAAAATAAAAAAGGAGGGGACTCCCAATGATGCATTTCTGAAAGTTAAAGGACAGGATAAACTGGCCTTACTTCCAAAAAGTTTACACTTCAGTTGTACCACAAAATTGTCAACAAGACCTTTCACGGACCTCCTCATATGCAAATGGTAATACACATGCAGTGGCTGAGCAAAGAGTGCCAGCACCGCCTTTATCCACAAATATTAATGCAAAAAGGCTATGGCCAGTGGGAAACAGTGGGAAGAAAAAGTCAGCAATGCTGCTTATGCTTCCAGTGTGTTTATTTAGCAAACAGAAATTAACACGAAACATGGAACGATGCAAGACATTACAATGGAAAACATGGTGGAATGTGCAAACCGCTAACTATATTTGAAATAATAGCAAGCCATAATACTATATTTACTGAACAATACTTATTTATTTAATATTTATTTTCAATTATCTATATTATTTTTTCTATTATTGTGCATTTTTCTATTTCAAAAATAAAATCCCACATACAACCTGCAGTACTCTTGCATACCACCAGTGGCACGAATACCGCAGGTTGAAAAACACGGGTCTACATAGTCTGAAAAGCTCTGGGTTGGGCAACAGAATGAAATGCAAACCAATGTGAAGGAACAGCATGCAGGTTGGCACGAGAATGAAAACAACTCGATTTGCTACATACTCCACATATTAATTCACTCAGGGTGCACACCTGCATGTTGCTCTTTGAGATTAATTAATACATGTCAATCTGATATTGTCTTTGGCAGTGACTTGGATGAGAGAAGAAAAGTCAAGTGAAAAAAGGGGAGACACACAGGTGGCCGACCATGTCTCTCAAGGGTTCCTGGAGACTGAGCAGCAAGAAAAAAAGTATGTTTTCCATGTGAAAGATTTGAGGCCATGAAGTGACGATAAACAGGTTCCAAAATATTAAACAATGTATATATTTATACATACATACTTACATGGCCGATGAGAAATTAAAGGATAAACCTAACATGCTTACTTTACCTAACTTTATGTTTATGAACATACAGGTGTAGGTGTATAATACGATTAACCTCCTATATGGCATGTATATCAATGCTGAGCTGGCCCAGTTTGATGTGGGGCACAGATTGCCAGAGCTTCGGTAACAAAGAGTGTAGTGTGTTAATGTATAGTGTATCAGTACGGAAAGACATCAGCAAATAGGGTTGACATTGTGGCCGAAAATGCACATCTGATGAGCGTGATGCTCGTGCATTAGTGCAATATGTAAGGAAGAACAGAAAAGCGACTCTTTCCCAGGGGACTGAGAATGTCAATGTAGGTGTGCATCAGCAAGATCTGTCCGTCGAGAACTACATAGTAGTTCTAATTTAACAATTAACAAAAAAATGTACTTATTCAATAATAATTGACTGTAATTTAACTCTGTCTGCAGTGTTTTATCCAATAAAGGGATGCATATGTATAACTGTCAAACAAAAAAATATATAATATTTATTATTGAACTATAAACAATATTATCCCATTAGCAATCCCTTCACTAATTACAACTAACATAAACCTAAATCATGAATGTGTTTTTAATCCAGAACTCCCCGTGGAGAACCCACAGGCAGAGATCCTGATGAAGTTGGGCCTTGAGGCATTTTCGTCTACACCACTGGACCGAGCTTCCATGTTTGACATCAACTGCTGGAACAAGGAGAACAAGGCTCCTCTGATGCCCAAGTACCTTCCCCGTGCCTTTCTCCAACGCCTCTGGTTGCTTAGCCCTGATGCTCGGAGTCCACGCTGCATGACACCATGTGATGATGTATCTGAGTCCCAAGCAGAGGACAACATGATCAATGGGCAAGACCAGTCCCACTGCGCAGTGAATCCACTAGATCTGCTCACAGGTGTCTATATGTCTTCCAACAGCTTCCTTCAGCAAGAAATGACAGTGCGCATGGTACAATGCCAGTTTGCTGTGCCCATGGTCCTTCCATCTGTGAATCCAGAACAGCCTAGCATGTTCCTCCTTTGGCCTTTGAGAAGTGTTGTGAGCAATTGGAGTCCCCAGTCCATTGCTAAACCAAAATTGTCCTTAGAAATTGATTTGGCCAGCACAGCCATGCCACTGGTCTCCTGTGTAAAGATTGGTCATTGTAGTGCCTCCAAGTCAAAGGTTTTAAATCACCTTATGGCAGGAGCCCAATCCCACAGTGAAATGTTCCTTCACAGGGAGATGGACGGAGGGCAGATTCGCCGGAGACTCTGCAATGGTTTAGTAGAGCTTGGATGGTATCTTCCCAGTGGAGACCCTGATGGAGATATTTTCCCTGTACCTGTGGTGTTCTCCAATCTGCGGGGTGATGCAGCATCACATGCTAAATGCCTCAGACTCCTGTGCCGTGCCTCGTCAGCTGTGGTTGTGTTCTGTGGCACTCTAAGAGAGAAAGATAAGGATTGTCTAGCTTTGTGGAAAGGCATGGCAAGTAAGCTCATCCTTATTGATCTCTTGCAATCTACGGCAGATGAGAGTGAGAAAAGGGTTGTGGGGTTTGTTGGTAAAAGTCTCGAAGAAGAGGTGGGTCTACCTATGGGTTCCGTGCTGTCAGGTGGAGATCTTGGTGAAGAAGCGCTTGCTCATATGCTATGTCAAACCCTGAATGATCTGTTACCAAGTGAAATTAAGTATGTGACACTTGAAGATGCAGCTAATATAGCAGTGGATGTGGGCCTCAATTTGGATGAAGGGCCAAAGTGTAAAAATGCAATGGCTAGAGTTGGGGAAGTGTTGCAAGGTTTAGAGGGGGGTTCAGCTCAGTTCAGAGACAAACAGCTACCCTTGCAGGGGGAAGTGTGGGCTAAGCTGGCTGAAATTGAGAAAGAGGAGTGTAAACAGAAAAGAGCAGGTGAGAAAACTAACCCTCTAGTGCAAAAGGAAAGAAAGGTAAGCGGTTACAGGATGAGCAATGCAATGAAAGTGTTTACAGACACTCTCTTCACATCAGATATAGAGGAAAGAACATATTTTCTGAGCTGGATGAAGCTGAGGCTTTGG